GAGCTGGGGGGAGCTTGTAAAGGCTAGAGAGTATACCCTTCCCATTTCCGGGCCAATCCTGAAGTGCTAGAGGAGGAAACATGAGATTTGTATCCCATCACCAGGCTCGGACTCAGGGACGGCTTCAGGGCTGATTCTCAGATCTCAGAGAACCTGTGGCCTCTCCGCATCTCACCCGGGTTGATGCCAGGGCCTGGGTATTGGCTATCTGCTTTGTGCCAACCAGGCTTGCTCGCTGCTGCTTGCTGGCCCTTGGCTAGGACCCCACTCTAATTCTGGTGTCTGAGTGTTGGGACTCAGTGTTTGTGTATACCACCTCTGAAGGGGCTTCTGCTGATCGGACCCTCCAAGCCAGTCTCCAGGGGTGTGCCTGCAGCAGAGGCCGCCTGCCAGCTGTGCTCTGCCCTGCTCTTTCCAGAAAACATTAAACTTGCCATGGCAATCTACAGCAAGCCGGCCTCTTCGTCTGCTCATTGGATGGAGTCTTCCTCCTGCCCTCTTCCCATCTATCACCCACCTTCTGCCTACTAAAGGCCAATTATGTCCTCAGCTTTGTACCCAGGGCCCGAATCGCCATGTTCTACCAAGGAGACATGGATTTCCTGAGTATCCTAGATTTCCTAGAGCTGAGCACTAGGGCTGTTTGGTGTGTGGACAGGTCTGGAGACTCACGTGTAGTGATGGCACATTATTCTTTTGTACTGGAGTGGGAAGCCCGGGGACTAGCAGTAAAGGTAGCCCCCTGGCCTGGACTGCAGCCCAGGAAACTGTATGACAGTCCTGGGCTGTGTCACGAAGGCCCAGAAACCAGGTGGCTGGAAACAGACAAATGTCTTCTCAGAGCTCTGGAGGTCAGAGTTCAAAATCCAGGTGTGAGCGATGTGGTGCTCCTAGCAAGGACTGGGGGAGGGCACTTCCTGCCACCTGTATTTGCAGGCATTCTTTGCCTGGAGGGAGGGACCTTATCAGTCTTCCTGTCCTGACTCTATGTGACCTGCTTCCCACAGCTTGTCTCCCTTTCAAGAACACTTAGGGCTGCATTCATGGCCTCCCCTAAATCCAGGACTCACTCTCCAGATCTCCAAATTTAACTTAAAACACATCTGCTAAAGGGATTTGTGAATGGGCAGGCGCTGGAGGCCAGTGCATGCGTGTCTCTTTTGGGGATCCCAGTAAAGCTTGTTGTGACAACCCACGGGTTTGGGCACTGGTAACAGCCCCTCTGTGTCTCCATGGTGAAGGGTAGGCACTTTTTCTTTTCATTGCTGGCCAGCGAGGTCTGCAGCCAGCCCCCCTCTCCACCTACCCAGCAGCCGGCTTGGAAGCTGGAATCGGCAGCTTGGCAAACAGCTGGCCTTCTGCCTCTGCCTGGTGCTGGGAGCCCATGTGGGCACACTCAGCCTTGGAATGGGGCCAAAATGGAGCAGGTGGACAAGGGCCCTGGTCAAAAAGTGAGTTCCCTTCTCCACAGTGTGGAGGCTGTTGCACAGAGAAGAGGCCTTACAGGTGCCCAGGAGTGGGGCCGGTGCTTTTCCCAAAGGGACCTGGAAGGAATGTGTTGGGCCTATTCAAGGGCAACTGGCAGCCTGATCTCCTGTCCTGTGACCCGGGTACATTCAGTCCACAGCTGGCCTGGCCCTGGGGAAGAAGGCAGCATTTACTCTGGTGCCCATCTGATGCTTCCCCCTACTCCCACCTTTTTTTTTTTTTTCTTTTTTTAAAAAAAGGGTCTCGTAGGCCAGGCTGATCTTGAACTTACTATATATGAATAAGCCTGACCTTGAATTCCTGACCCTCCTGACTCCACTTCCTGAATGCCAGGATTACAGGTCTGCCCCAACTCGCCTGACCTTTTAAAATGTTAGCATATATTAATTATATATAATAAAGAGTTTCCTTATGACATTTGCATACATGTGCACAGTGTATTTCCATCATATCCAGTTCCCATAATCCTTGCCTGTTCCCCTTTGCTTAGACTAATTCCATCTTCTTCCCATTTAGTATCCCTTTCGTGCGTGTGTGTGTGTGTGTGTGTGTGTGTGTATGTATCTCCAAATGAGTCACAGTAGGGCTGTTCATAGGCACATGGGCACCTTCACAGTGAACATATCCCTGTCCCCCAGGCAACTGGGTATAAATCCTCAGAGAAGGGTGTGTGGCCATGAAATCCCTTCCCAGTTCCATGACTAAGAGCTGCAGGGCCCAGTCATGTGTGAGCAGTCACAACAGCTGTGCATTCAAGAGTGTGAGAGCCATGCCATGCCCAGACATCACGGTTTTTGCTTTTACTATTTATCATCTGTCTGTGTATCTATCTATCTATCTATCTATCTATCTATCTATCTATCTATCTATCTATCTATCTATCTATTTTCAGATTGTATTTTATACTGTAGCCCAGGCTGGTTTCAAACTTGTGGCAGTCAGTCTCTGGCTTCAGTATCCTGTAAAGGCATGTGCCCCGATGCCCCGATGTCCCTCATAAGATTTATTTTTATGTGTATAAGTCTACATACATATACATCCACCACATGTGTGAGTGTCTTCAAAGGCAGAGGAGAGCATCAGAACTGAAACTATAGATAGCTGTGAGCTCCTGGCATGTGGGTTCTGGGAACTGAACCCAGGTCCTCTGCAAAAGCAGTAAAAAAAAAAAAAAAAAAATCTTATGAAGCTGATCCGGCATCTCCAGAGGCTGGGCAGGGAGAATGAGAGCAACAGCCAATGTGCACTAATGCATCTGTGGTCGTTTCGTTTTTTTCTTTTTGATGAAAGCATTCTCCGATTGCCAATCATGGTTACATAACACAGTGACTGCTAGGAGCCTTTTAACTGCACACTTTGCATTTGTGTAACAGAATGGTCACATACACACGAACACACGTGCCCACATGCTCGTACACATTGACTTCCAATCACACATACCACACACATGATCAGGTTCCCCACGCCTCTCAGTCGAGGGCTGGAGAATCCTGCCGGTCCTTCTGAGTTACGATCCTCATCATCCATCCATCATGACTTGGCTAAGGTGGAGTCAGAGGCCGAGGCCGAGAACGTAGAACAGGAGCAGAGAGCTAGCCCGTCCAAGAACATTACTGAACAAGCAGTTTTCAACATCTAGAGTGTGAGCTCACTTGAGTTTGAGAGGCTGATGCAGAAGCCAAGGGAACATTCCAGAGGAACAAGTAATGGAGGACCGTGCCTTTCCCTCTCAAATCCCAGCCTTGCTGGGCAGGGACCAGAAAGTCAGGGTGACCTCAAGTGCCCTAACTCAAGAGGCCCCAGTGTCCAGCCCTCCCAGCACAGGATGGAGTCCGGCCATTTCTCCTGGAACAGGCGGCCGGTGTAGACAAGGAGGCTGCACTTCAGAGATCCTACAAACGGGACTCGAAACCCATGTGCCCTACGGAACCTAGAATGCTTCCTGCCTCACCAGAGAAAAACGTCCTGACTGTTCAGTGGAGATGCCACTAAGTTACCGTCCACACGGCGGGAAGGCCTGCTCGCTAAGAACAGGCATACAAATGCAGGCTTGTTCACCAGGCAGGGGGAGGATTCAGAGTTGTCACCAGCAAAAAATAATACACTGGCTACAGCTGGAGAGATCAACGGAGACAAGACTGAGAACTGGTGAAGAACATGGTGGCAAGGAACCACACTTTCTGTATTGTGCGCTGGAAGTGGGAAACCAAACGAACAGAATTGAGAACTCCATGGACGAATTTAATCATGCCCTGTCAAAGTGGGACAGAAAATCAGCACAGGGAAAGTGAGTCAGAAGAAAACGCCCGGGAGCAAGCACGGAAATGGTAAAGTCAGAAGGAGAGGACGGGAGACCTCAGGAAAACCAAGCCGGGCACACGAGGACTGGGTGTCGGCGCAGTGTCATGAACTTAGGGACAGAGTCAGGACCACGAAGCAGGTGTTAACGGGGTGCATTAGCAGAAGTATGTCTTGTGTGGTGGCAAGACAGGTGGATGCTAGCTCCCCAAAGCCAGAGGTGGGACTTCACGTGTCGGCTGGTTGATCTTGACCGTCGATTGGATTGAATCAAGATATTCTCAGGAGATGATCAACGCACTCTTGGGTGTGTTCGGGAGGACGGTTTCTCATCAGGGCTCTGACAGTTAGTGCGATCCATTGATGGACAGTTAGTGCGATCCACTGATGGACAGTTAGTGCGATCCACTGATGGACAGCTAGTGCGATCCACTGATGGACAGCTAGTGCGATCCACTGATGGACAG